ATTCCTGCTTGCTGCTGGAGTCACCCCTCTCTAGAGCTTGCCCTTGCTCAGCCTGTTTTATATTACAGAATTGTTCCTCTGAGTAATCATCCTATACTTGTAGTATGGTCTGTAAATGCCAAACCCAGCCTGTGTGCTCCTGCTGTGCTATCTGTGGTTTTCAAGTGCGGACAGATACTGGGATGAGAGATTGAGAAGGAAGTTTCTATCCATCCACTTGCTCTCCAGATGCTTGAGGTGGTTTTTGTCATACCGCACTAATAGTGTGGCTCCATTCCTTAATTTACTTCATTTAATAGCATCCAATATACGTTAACAGAACATCAAGATTTGTTTTATTGTTTAATAATGTACAGTTCAGGAATGTCTTGACCAACAAGGGATAAATGCATTCTATGGTGAATTTTCTCATTACTCCTGTTATATTGTAAAAGAAAGAATAGACAAATAATCCCAACAGAAACAGCATGTCTGTGCTCAAAGCCCTCATTCAGAAAACTATGTAGGCATTTGAGCTATCTTCTCAGTTCCATTGTAACAGCCCAGATAATTCTGAATATCATCCTCAGTAAAAAAAAAAACTCCCATAGAGCTTCTTGGGAAAATGACTGTGATTTTCAGATTCCACTTTTGCAAAGCAGAACCCATGTCCCCAGTATTTTAAGGCAGTTTAATGTTTGTTAAGTCAAAAATAATTTCTCCCCTCACAGAAGCAGTTGTAAGTACCATTAAAATCATTGCAGATTGCACCAGCATATGTAAAGAATAAATACAACCCTACAGTGCTGAATAGGTAAGTGCAGACTCTCAGCAAGAGAAATGTGTAGGAATTAGAATTAGGTAGACTCCAGACAGATGCTTCAGCTACTGTGTAGGATAACCTGAAAAAATGTAATCCAATATGAGAAGAAAGTTAATGTAACATAAAAGCATGCAAAAAAAAAAATGTGTACAATATGCAAACCCACAACTGTTTGCTTTCTAAACCAATATCCCTTCATTCTTTACTGCAGTCTGTGACAGGAAGCTGGAAATCGTAGACACTTTGGAAAAAAAATTAAACATAGATGAATTCACAGAGGTGAGAAATTAAATCAGAGCATCTGATGCAGAATATGGTGTTTATCACAAAGTAGTAGCATTTCGCTGGGGACAGCTAAGATGAGTAAGTGGAGGGCTTTGCTTCTTCAGCATTCCAGGTAACTGGTTATATCAGGACTTTGCATGTTCCATCTCTGTATCCATCCTTCGCTGTCACAACACTTTCATTCTGTCCAGCAAGGGGGATGTATTTTGCTTTCTCAGAGCTGCTGCCTATGCAAAGCAGTGTTTTTTAGGACAGTCTTCTCAGTCCCTTCCTGGAATGCCAAAGCCCTGAATCACTTGTGAATTCAGATGCAGAATATCCATCTGAGTTGCATTGGCTGCTCAAGGCAGGTTTGGTGTCCCAATATAGCCATTAGCCTGAGGTAATCAGTACTGTCCTCAAAGTATTGTTATTTCTGATTAAGTTCTATTAACCACAGAAAAGCCTAATAAGTGATCAGAAGCTCATTTTTGCTTGGAACTCTTACTGACTTGGACCATAACCAAACTGCAACAAGTGACATAGCTGTTCACAAAGCATAACCAGGCTGGAAAATACACAGTTTTAAAATTAAAAGCTGTCACTGAGAAACATCAGGAGTGTGTTTTTAAAACCCACCCAAGTCAACAAGTGTAGTTGGAAGGTTCACCCCATTACTCTACTCTTTGTCAATCTGAAAACAATCAAATTGGTTCAAACTACAGTTACTGAAAAACTCTCCAGGCCAACCCTTTGCCAACCCTTTCTACCTACAACAGAGCTGAGTTTTATGGCTGGATACTTAAATCTGCAAAAAGGGATGTTTAGAATAGAAATAATGACAGACCTGCAATTGCAGCAGTGCTGGTGGGTGCTGTTACAATAATTAAAACCAGAGTATAAAGCAGCTGTGCAGAGACTAATTTCAAGCAACCATGTGTGATTTTTGTGCCTTCCTTGCTCTCAGGAGACTCCCATGTTCGTTATTTCACAGAGAGATGCATTTTCATGGTAACTCATTGAAGGCTTTTTTAAGCCTGAAATGAGGTATTTTTAAATTTAACCTCAGAATAACTGCATTTAATTAAGAAAACTATTGTGGCTAATGGGAGCCCAGAGAATTGCTTTTGTCACGGCAATGAGGCATCAATCCATAATCCCTATGGCACATGTATAAGCACTAAATGAATTCATGCTCCATTAGCATTAGAAAAATGTTTTAAAATATATTTTGTGTACTCTTTATTTTAACTCAATTAAAGATATGACAACAGAGATCAGGAATACAAAAGACACAGACTGTCAAGCTGTCTCATTCACCAGCCAGTGCAGCTTAGTTCTCAGAATATATTCTCTGATGCATTTCCAGTCCAGTTTTAATTGAATCAAATGATGAAGCTTTCATCACTTCCCTTGAGGAACTGTTCCATAATCACAGGCCTCACTCTCAGGACATGGCTGCTTCTAATCCTCAGCTACAGTTTACCTTTGTTCATCAGTTTGCATCGTCCACCAAGACCTGAGAGAGAGATGATCTTTCTTGACACTGGTCTAGGTCCTTTCACATGTGGAAAGCATTGCTCTGTAATGGACCTTAAAATTAAATGCTGCTTTTTTCTTTCTTCCCTGAATTCAGTGCAGCTTTGGATTACTTAAAGGCTGTTAGAAACTCAGTAGAGAGACCTCACACATTGTTGTTGGATTTTGGGGTATTTTTTTGGACATGCATAGCAGTGGCTTTTGTATTTTTACATCCTTCGTGACAAGCTCATAGAGTCTTTATATTAAAAGTATTTAAATCCCAGAGGCCAGTCCTTACCAGTTTATTTCACAGGCTTTGTACCTCAACATGCAGAACCTCCAGCAGCCTGACACAAAGCTGTTGGCACTAAGGCAAATACTCCCATTGCCTTTGTAGGATCGGAATCAAGCCTTAAAGGTGAGATTATTGTCCATGGTCACATGTGGCTCACTCCATTTCTGTTGAGTAGAAACAAAAAGCAAAGCTCTGTTGTTCTTGATGATAATGTGTTCACAATCTCAGCGAGGTCTCACTCTGGATAGCAAGAAGGAGGTGTGCCAGCTTTCTTCTGATGGGTGTCAAAATCTCTTGGTTAATAATAAATAAATGTATGCTTATAACATGTACAGTACTTTACACAGCAGAGTTCTTTACACACATCAGCTAAGAAAAGCTTAAGACTCTACGATAGTTCCTCCTGCCCACAGAGCCGAACACAGGCTTCTAAAAACTGTTCTGGGAAGCTGTTAGACAGCAGTATTAATACACAAGCCTTGGGATGTGTCATCAAGATGACATACAAAATAACAAGCTGCTTGTCCAAGCTGCCTCCTCCCAACTGCTGTCATCCTTAAGGGTTCATCTGCCACAGGGCTCTGGGTTGTAATAGCTCTGAAAAGCTGGGAGATACACGTATTCCCAGATCTGCCACCTTCTCTCCAGCCCACGTACATCCTCTCCATTTATGCTGAAATGCAGAAAAGCCACACACTGCATTAGGAATTCTTCTTTCCCACCAGCCACCCCTCAGGCCATTTGCTGCTGCTTTTCTGCTCTTCCTCTCTTCTCCACTTGTCCCATATGTTTGGGAATTGCACAATATAGACATGATTAATACTAACATATATTAATATTTCAGTTGGTCAATGCATTTCAACAAGTCCAACATGTTCTAGTATTTAACTCGGGTATCCATGCTCTAAAAATGGGATAATGGGAAACATTCCATATTTTGGAAATTAGGGTTTGCATCTTTTAACTTCCTGTATGGGTCCCTGTTACTGTGCCTGGCTCCAGAAACCTGCTCTAATAATTCAGCACAGGCTTTGGCATTGTGGTTTGTTCTGATGGCCATTATTATTTATGTCATGCACACCACATTTTTAGAACCATATTGCTTTTGCTCATGAAAACCACGTGGCTATAAATCCAAAGTGTTAAAGTGTCTCCAAGGCTAGAACTTAAAATAAATCTGGAGTCAGTAGTATCCCCAGTGTGAGAGGACTTAGGTGACAGGCTCATTTTCAAAAAGTTCTTTCCTTTTTTTATTGTATCCAGACTGGTTCTTTAAACATTGAAATCATGGCCAGTGGTCATTCTGTGGCATTAGAGAGTTGAGTGACTGTCAGTTTTGCAAAAACCAGTGGCTCGAAATGCCTCCTTAGGGGTAAAGTCAAGAATACTAAATTGCTGCTGAAAACCATGGAGAACTTCTACTCTCCCTGACGTAACCTGGCTGAATCAATGACATTTCATAGGGGGGATTCTCATCCAGCATCTCTGAAGCACTGAACATGAGAAGTGACCTCTGGGCAGCAGAGTCCCAGGCTGGTTTGGAGAATATTGCTGCTTCTGAAAGAAAGAACCAAGCAGGCAGTGTAGCATCCGTGCACCAAGTGTGCAGATTAAACTGCAAATTCCTATCTGTATCATTGCATGCAATAGGTTTTAAGGAATTTAAAAAGGTGAAAGTTCTTGAAGAAAGCTAACCATTCATCCTGCTGCTTTCTCTCCACAGTATGTCCATTCCTACACTGAACATTTTCCAGATGACATGTTCCAAGAAGTGCTGAAGCATCTCTGTAGGTGTGCTGATGACTTTGGAGAAGCAGTAAGACATGATATGTGGAGGCAAATGTTTACTTTTCTCTTCGTAGATTGTGATTATGGAAAGGTAGGCAAAGCAGCTCTCAACCTAATTTCAATATGGAGATGCTTCCAGTTTGGTATTTCTCTGGGTCACTGATTTCTCTTTATTCCTCATGACTCTAGATGCTCTCTTTGTGCTTACTCAGCATTATTTCAGAGGACAATAGCTGCTGCATTGTCTTCAAATTCATGGGGTTTAGGCACAGAAACAGCCAGCAGCCTATAAGCTGATGACTGATTAGAAACTGCATTATGTAACTGATGACTTGGGGCTGAAGTTTGATGATTCTGGAGAAGAAATTAACCATGGTCTTTACTACTTCTGGTCATCACCTGTTCTCACAGCACACTGAGAATGTTTGGGTGCTAATCTGTCTATTCAGCCATATTGCAGTAAAGATAACCTGATAAAGACTGACCTTAACAAACGTGCACATTACTACAATAGTAACATATATTGTGTTAATTATGTTGCATTAATTTATACACCCTGAGGGCTTCTATCAATAAATCTCATAGTTTAAATTTAAAATGCAAATTTATCTGTCTTTACAACCTTCTGAACTTCTGCCACAGTTTATGAGCAGGCAATTAAAATAGAGTAAGTCAGTTACAGAGCTGGAAATGGAACTCAAAAGCCATAATCTGGTTTTCAGCAGCTCTAAACTCATCCTCTGAATACACCTTCATCTCCATTAAAATAAATAAACAAATAAGCTAGATGTGTTAGAAAAGCAGTAAACAGTCAGAGCTGAACAATCAATGGCATGAGATATTGCTAAAATCTTGGGCTTCATCCAAAGAGTATGGTACTTGTTACAAGTAGCCTCAGCCAGTTGCTGGCTACTGCACAGCAAATAGTTGCTATAATCTTGCAGTTTTCTACAGGAATTATGTATTCCATGCAGCACTCCTCTAATGATGTTTACAGCATGCCTACCCAGAATGAACTCTGCTGTACAAAGTCATGCTAATAATGTCATTACCTCTAAGAGAATGGAATTACAGAGAACATTTCAACACCAATGGTGTGTTTTAGAGAATAGCAGGCAAGCTGCTATTTCAGGGATGAGGAAAGAAATGTGACCACTTCTCAGCTAGGAGACATTTCATTTTCCTATTGCTCTTATGGTGGATCCTTTCAGGTAAAGTAATATATAAAGCTGAGTCCTATCTTTGTCATGCATTTTGAAAGGATCCCTTCTTTCCCTTTCATGTTTTAATGTGACTTTCTTCCTGTTATTTCCGTGGCAGTAATCACCATCTCCATGCTACTAATCCCAGTGGAATCTCAGAGGCAAAGAGCCAAAAACACTAGCAAAACATAAGAGTGAGCAGCTATCAGCACAGACTCCATGGCTGCCCAGAAAAGAATGAGCAGAGCACAAACTTGGTTGCTGTTTCCAGCCTCCGAGGTAGCCTTGCTCTGCAAATTGACTTCACCAAACTGTAGTGTGGACCACGCAGTTCTTTTAAACCTGTCCTGGTTTCTTTTGTACAGCTCTTAATAAGTCCTGCCCTACTGTGCCCACAGGGAAGATAAAAGATGCAAACTAACCCTAGGACTTCTTCCACTTGAATGTGATCCATTACCTGTAGTACTCATTCTGCAAAGCAGAGCAAAGCAGTTGTTTCAGTTCCTAATTTCCATTTGTTTGGTGGCAGGCAGTTATTCCAGTCTGCATGGTGACTGTGGCTGGCTGCTCAATGAGCTGCAATTAGAGCCAGGGAGCTGAGAAAGCAGTGTTTAAATTACAGTCAAATTAGAAGGTATGCACATGATCATTATTATGATTTCAAATGCATGCATCCAGAAGGATGGCAGCTCAGCAAGAACAGCCTGGACTATACAGTGAAGCAGAAAGTTTCCAAGACAATACCAGGACACAGTTGAATCACTGCTCTGATGCCCAAAAAGGCAATGGCTCTGGGAATTCTGAGCTTATTGTCTCTCTGTGCTTATGTGTATCAAGTATAGGTTTTTAAATACATCATTTAAATTAAAAGGATCTGCATCATTTTCAAGGACATTTTCAGCCCGAAGCCTTTAAATGTGACTGAATTTAGTCAGATTAGGTTTCAGACTAATGAACTTTGAGACACTTCAGATGATTGTCTTTCTTGCAGTACAGCAATGTCAGAGCCTGCTTTGTCATGACCTTTTCTGTCTGTTCTTCCCATCTTGCTCACTAACAAGTGTCTTGTGGTGCTCAAGATACACACATCCCATTTCCAGGAAAGCAATCAATCAGTTGAACACTGACCTATCGCTGGTGAAATGGCAAATCTGGTTTAGCTTGTGTTGCTTAAAGGAATTACTCATAGATCACAGCACATTGCTGAAAACAACTGAGAATCATCACCTGCCAATATCCAGGTGACAGGAAAATCAGGTCAACACGTTTCAACCCTAGCCAGTAAAGCTGGCACTTGTTAGAAGTGGAGACAAGTTTTGGGTGGCTGTACAAACACAGATGGTCTGCAAATCTGGTTTAGCTTGTGTTGCTTAAAGGAATTACTCATAGATCACAGCACATTGCTGAAAACAACTGAGAATCATCACCTGCCAATATCCAGGTGACAGGAAAATCAGGTCAACACGTTTCAACCCTAGCCAGTAAAGCTGGCACTTGTTAGAAGTGGAGACAAGTTTTGGGTGGCTGTACAAACACAGATGGTCTGCTGTTATTTATAGTGGATGGCGGACCTGTTCTCGCGAAAAGTAAAGACTCAATGTGAAGGGCTGAAGGGCAGGAATATTTCATCAGGCTCCTCAGTCACACACAAAGCACAAAGAAACTTGAACTCTGCTAGTAAATTTAGGAACTCAGAAAGATACAACAAGTTCCTCTCAAAGTAAGTTGTAAGGAAAAGAAGTGTCCTAAAATAACAGGCACTTCCAGTAGAATGACAGATCTGTATAAATCCTAAGTGTTAAAACAAGGTGGATAATATACCCCTCATTCCTAACAGGTAATTTCTGAAAAGGAATTTACTATTTTTAACAATACATAAAATTATTTCATCCAAATCACAAACTCTTCCAGAATCTGAGTTATCTAAATCCTCCAAGTGGATTATCTTAATATGACAAAAGAATCCCAAACCATCCTTTTTATTTTCTTTTTAATAATACTCCATTAATTGATTTACCTTTTTAATAAAATTTTGCATTAGTGCTGCAACTCTAAGGCAACCAGCAGCTGATTGTGGCAAGTAACAGCTGGGGAAATGTAAAAGGAAAATTAAGTGTGTGTAGGAAATACTGAATGGGGAATCCAGATTCCACAGTGATCCAGTAACATCTTCAAAACCATGTTTGTGTATGTACTAAGTGGATGCAGAATCCAATCTGATGTATTCAACTGAAAAACAAACAGCATAAAGAAGTGTTTGCATGAGAACGTGCAAAATATTTGTATATTGATGGCAAGAAGATGAAGACCCTGGGAATCAGGGCCTACATCTTGTACGTTTAGGGACAGAATTATGTGATGACATTTTCTATTCCAAACCCCCAGAAAGCTGAAATTCAACTGTAATTTCCAGCATTTTTTTTTTTCAGGAATTAAGTTACCAGAGTCTGAAACACTAAAACTGCACCAGATGTCTGCTTACAGTTCTTTTCTGATCCTTTCCTCAATTCCCTGTAGAGGAAAGGTGTTGCAGTAACACAAAATGTGATGGATTCACTTTGTTTTCAGTATCAGCCTCCTTGGGAGGCACTTCATCAGTAGGCACTTCTCTCAGTTGTTTTCAAATCCTCTGTTCCTAAACATTGATGCCATTAATTATGGTTTAAAATGATAAACAACGGGGTCATCTTCAGCTCAGTTACAGAAAAGAACAGCAAACTTCTTCCTTTATTTCTTCAGCCTAAGGGCAGGCAATTAGGAATTAAAAGCTTGGTAAACTTTATGTTTTGCAGTTTTTCAATCTAAGAGCAAAATGTGAAAAGGAAATCAATAATTCAAATGGAAAGCTACTTGCTATAAATAATGAACTTAAGTAAATCTGTTCTCTAATTAACTACCATATTTCACTAACGGCAGGGAGATTACAAAGGTGGCAGGACTTAAATAATGACAACAGGAATTCATCATAAAATGGAGAACTTGCAATCATTTAGATTTGCTTGACTTTTGAAACTCACAATTTCCTGATTGGAAATGACCCATTTCATTGTCTTCTCCTGGTGTTACTGTCTGTATATACTCACCCTGAGCAAAAAGGACTTAATAAACTCTGCACGTTCCTCTGCACTGGAATTACTGACAATGCTCTCACCTCAGTGGTCAAATGTGTATGAATTTTTAAAGGAAATTGGGGAGGTTGTCATGATAGCTCTGGTTTTTGGACTAATCATCTTCCCAGGCAGTTGCCAAGGCATAACACTTCAAAGGAAACGATGGGGCACAAAAGCAAACTGCAATGTGCAGTCACTAACATAATGCAGCACAGCTCATAATATGTGAAAATTCTTCCATAGTACTGTCAGGAAATCAATATCTGTCCAGAAAGCATGAAATATTGAAGCTTTGATCTTTACATGAAGAACTCCTTTGGCAAAGTGGTTACAATGATCTAACTGTAATTGGTGAAGAATATGCAAGAGGATGTGCCTGCAAAATGATGTGTTTGGGGCATTCCAGCTAAGCCCAGAGGAGGAATTTTTGCCTCTGTGAAATAAATTGACTTTTTTGAAATCTGTACTCATGTTCTGGTAATGGATAATTTTCAGTCACAGGTAATTCTTAGCTAATGGCGCCTTTGTAGTGCTGCAAATATTGATGTAAGTCCCAAGAACCACAGGAAAAACCCAATAATTGTAATCTTTTTGTCTAGGTTGGTCTCTTAAACAGACCAAAAATACTTGCCCTGTTGACAGACTTCTACAAAAGAAGCCCAGTGGGTGCTCAGGAGGGATTCTGTAACCCAAGACAGTGTAAGTACATGGGATCTTCCAGCTGTGGTTAAAACATGAGGAGGTCACATGAGGCTGCAGAGTTAATATATGTTTCATAAGTGTTACCAGAAGTGAACAGAGCCTAAAAAAGGACCCAAATGAATGTTGTGACCTATACACCATAATTTACAAGCATGTTTTGCAAACTGTGATGCAAATGTGTGTTCAGAAATATTTCAGCATCCAGAACTTTTCCTTCCCACCAAATTCTGAAGTACTTTTTAGAAGTAGGAGTAAAAAAAGAGTTCTTTTCCTGAAACAATTCTTCTTTCTTACTGGGCAATATTAGAAGTGAATTTTGTGCTTACTCTAAAATTTCTCCAGGAACATAGAAAGATGAAGAAAAAACACAGAGAATAATCTACATGAAACTAAAATACTTTTAAGCTATTGGACATTAATTAACTGCTAAGATCAAATACAAGGCAAATTACACCTTTCCTTCTTAGCATGGAGAATTAGGAAACATTTCTTTCAAAAGCAATATGGTGTAATGCACAGTTACAAGTGAGATCTCTGCAGGCAAAGACATTATTCTGAAGCTCTGTGTTTCTGAGATGCATGTTTGCAGAAGGTACTTTCTCATAAAGTACTTTCTCATTTCTTTTCCCTTGGGAATACCTTTTTCTTTAATTTCCCCTGTGCAGTACCAGAGAACATAAACCCAATGCAAACTATCAGCTTATCAATATTTTTTCTATTCTAGGGCCAATAATAGAGCTGCAAGAGATTAAGCTTGCACATTTATGGGGAGGCTTTGATGACCAGGAGGTTTGTGAGGAACTCAGTGAAAAGTTAACCTTGTCTCAAACAGAAATTTCTGAGAGAGAGATTTTAGCTGAACCTGTAGATGATGATAGACAAGGCAGCAACGTGGTGAGAACTAGTGTCACAGAAGGTCTTTCCAAACAAATGGGCATGAATGAAGCTGAGACTGGAGGAATTTCTAAGGAAGAAAACCAAGCAGCAGAATCAAATGATGCTGAAGTGAGAGAGGAAGGTAAGGATGCTCTGTCAGAGCTGGAAAGCACTGATTTGGAAGCTAGAGACTTGGATGGAGGTACCGTAGTTAGTGGGAAATCCAGTTTCCATGAAGACATGGAAACTGAGGGGCAAACTGAGGGGCAAACTGAGTCTGCAAGTGCAGTCAGTCAGGAGGAACTTTTCCCTGAATCTACTGAGTACAGTCTCAGTAGAGATGGAGAACCTGGATCTGAAAATCAGGTGGAGGAAGAGGAATTTAGCCTGGGAAGAGAGCCTGATATAGAAAAAAATGGAGAAGAAGATTATCCTATCTCAGACAGAGAACCTGGCTCAGAAGGGCAAGTCAGTCAGGAGGGGAACTGGACTGCAGAAACAACCAACACAACTTCAGAACCAACAACTGAAGCTACAGCCATGACCTCAGAAGACAGAGCTGTGGCAGACATGGATGTCATTGATTCAAAAGAGGATGCTCCAGTTGCAGAGGTTGTGAAAGAAACCCCTGCAAGAAAAGGGAGTGTTCTTGAGCAGCATGACAGCCAGACTGGCCAACAGACAAGCTCAGAGACAAGGCTGCAGGATGGGAACCTTCTCCAAGACCAGGGTGGAGGTGAAGCTTTCTCTTTTATTCTGGCAGACCCTGATGTTTTTCAGTGTATACATCGACTAGTTGAACTATAGGTATGTTTTTAATCCTTTTCAAAACTATTGAAAGCATGTGAGTGATTTCTGAATACACAAGACTATAAGCTCTGCTATCTTCCCAGCATGATGTTTTCTGCCAAGGTTTCAGTATGTTCCTCTCACAAGGTGGTAGGTGAGTCACTTTGCTGGTGATCTGTATTCAAGGCACTGAGCAGACTTTAGTTCAAGTGTGGACTTTCTGAAGCAGAAGCATTTTTATAATAAAGAGAAACTTCATATTCTGTTTCACTCTGTAATATAAGTACAGCAAAACAGGAGCCTGAGCATGTCAAACCTATAAGAGTTCTCTTTAAAATTGCAGGCCCAGCACCCACAGATAGACAGGATTCTCCAGCTGAAGATAGCCCGGATGTTGAAGTGCCATGGTCAGGTAACTGCTCATCAGCCCTTTTCATCCACTTTAGAAACTATAGCTTGGATATATGTATGTAAAAGCTTTCAGAAAAGCTGTATCGTGTGTCTTTTTTAAAAGTTTATGTCATTACAAGGTATAATTTATCTTTCATCAGGTGACTTTCTGACTCGTGACCTAAGTTCCAGGTTTAGCAACTATGGAGAGAGAATTCCAGAGGACTGGAAGTGTGAGAACACTAGATTTGCAGGTATTTGGTCACAAAGCTGTGTGTTCACTTGGGCACAGAGTGGCTGGCAGCGTTGGCAGACATGCCAGTACTGCTGTGAGCTCAAAGTTTGGCAGGAATACAAACACTAATTCCTGAAGCTGACTTCAAGATAAGAGCAGTGTAGTCTTTGTCTCAGAAAGCCACTTGCTGTGTAACAGTAATTTCAGCTCAGCTGTATTCAGGATTTGACCTGGTTGTATGATAGCATCCATAGACTGAAGAGATACTATTAGGAAAGTATAAGCAGATTAAGGCTTTTAGTCAGTGTGGAGTCAGTCTGTACTCAGCTATAATTTCACCAGATAGGAAGTGCAGGATTCAGGACTGAGTTGCTATCTGCCACGTGGCCAGCTTTAGGGCAGCATTTGGCTGCCTGTGACGCACTGTGCTCTCTGTCTTTCAGACCTGCATCCCATCATGGCAGAGATTCAGAACCGCTGGGCTTCTCGTACTAGGAGCACCTTTGATGAAAGCAGCCTCAACCTGCCACAGTTTGTACAGCTCATGGAGACATTTGTTGGTGAAGAGATTTCTCTGCCTACTGTGAAGAGGCTTATTGTCTTCATCAAAAGAGAATACAAACAGACAGAAGAGGAAAAAATGCAACAGCTAGAAAAAGTAAATATTGATAAGTTTTGCTGATCCCATTTCCAAACAAAACCCAAGCAGATGCCTACAGATACTTACAAAGTCAACTTTTAATCTCATGCTGGCAGAGCTATTCACTTGCAGCCTTGCATTCTCTATTTCAAGAGACCTTTTACGCCTTTGTTTTCATATGGATCCTCCCTCCCTAGCCCTTAGCTCTAGAAGTGATGACAGCCTCATCCTGTAAGAGGTTGTCTTGTCTGTTCTAGAGCCTCAGTGACACAGCAGGTTGATAGTTAATTGTGAAAGAGCTCAAAACATTCCATTCTGCTTATTCACCTTTATAATAGCCAAGAACCTGATCTCTGACCTACTGCACTGGCATGTGCATATGAGGTTGTGGGTGTTTTGGGGAGGATTGTAAAACAAGTGTGTTTGGTTTTGCTATGTGCATGGCTGTACGTGAATGTGCTCGTGCTTCTTTGTGTTTAAGTTACAAGGTGCTCTTGCCAAGTGTTGAAAAATATATTCCCCTCCTGCAATATCCTCATGCACAGCATCAGGGTGCTCCATATTCCTTCAGACTACGGATATACTTCATGGTGGGTCTGTCCATAGTATCCTCTCTAGTACAGGGAGGCACAGACCTCAGATCTCTTTCTAGTTTCCCTCTGTGCTGCTGACCTAATTTGGATGAGATATTGGATCTGACGGCTCTACTGTCCTCATGCTGAGCACACCACACACTGCCAGTATTTTGGCCTTTGAGAGAATTCCACCCCAGCCATTTATCACTGTATGCTGTGCAAAGACAGTTTAAAGGACAAATTGTACATGCATTTGCTTGGAGCCCACACACTTCAGGGCAGCACCAGCAAAATAACAATGTACAGATACACAAACTGTCACATCTTTGGATGTTACAAACAAGGCTGTGGTTAGTTCTTCCTGGGAAGACATTTGTATTCTGAGAAACCTGCACTTACCTGAGTTGATCTCACCCTAGATCCAGCACAGGTTTCATTTGTTCACTGTGAAATAACCCTCTGCAGTGCTGATTCTTCCTGGTAAAACTGAACTGTCAGCTGCATTTTGGATTCCCAAGTATCTCTCAGGTTTAATGATTCATCTCCAGGTCTGAGCTGTCGATGCACAGATAGGAATGATGTGGTTGACATACCAGTGCAGTTTCCATTCTTGAGTAGACACTGAACATCAGTGTCCAGGAGGTGCCAAAGACCAAACTGCTCCTCTCTTGCAGGTTCACCACAGCTCTCACTTGGCCCAGCGGAAACTGCTTTTGGAGGCACTTTTTGAAAAGTGGGACAACAACGCATCTGGGTTTCTGGAGCTGGAAGAGGTGGATGCTGTTCTGAGCACCTTTAAGGAAGGGATGGAAAAAGAGACCTTGAGGAAGGGTAAGGAGACAGCCTTGCTCTGAGAGAACAGTGTCAACACAGTAGGCCTTAAACATTCAACGACAGTGCTAACGAAGTTGTTGGCAAGCACCAGTCACTTTTTGTTTTTGCAAGCAGTCATAAGCATACACGCAATGATGTGTAAAATGAAAAGGAACAGTTATCCAGAGCGACTTGTTAATGCATAGCTCCATCTCCTCCTCCTGGGCAAGACTCCTCTGCAACAGATTCCCAGTCAGAGAGGTAGCCCAGTGCTTTCCTGCCACTGTGATGTGCTGAAAAGTGATTTCAGCCATAACATGCAATGTACACTTGTGTGGCAGTGAAAAACACAGGTAAAACCTGAGGACATGTTTGCACTTCTCATCTAGCTCATCTGAGCTATCCAGCCATTTTTAATAGATAGATTTTACTGTGCTATCTGCAGGAATGTATCTCATCGGAGAGAACAACAGCTTTCCTTATGGGTCTCAAATAGCCTTTAGTAATCCACACTAGCACAGTGCTCATGAATTAGATAGCAGCTTTGAGTCTCACTTCTCTGTTGGTTCCTTTCTCTGAGTAAACTTAGCAAATTTGGTCCTTGACAGAATAGAGCTGGGTCAGACAGAAATGCTGTGGGTTTATCTGGACCTGTCTGGCAGCCTCATACATATTAACATGTGGGCATTAGGTGCTCTGAAATACTGTATTAGCAATTAAGAACATGCCTGCATGTGTGCTTGGCTGGAGAGGACTGATGTATTCATCTCCATGCTCATCTTCGTGTTGCTAAAAATGGCTCATTTTGGCAACCACTAAACCCTCTTTATCCTTTAGCTCACTCGAGGCAGCTGGTGGGGTGGGGAGCACACCAGTGTGCTCCAGTTCATAGTCTCCAGGCTGCACAGCCACAAGAAACTGGCAGGTCACAGCTCTCTCGTATTCAAAGCATGCCAGAATGTACTGAAATATGGAAGGACATAATCCTTTCCATGAAGGGTTCATAAACTAAAGGACAAATAAATAGCAAGATAGCATAGCAATATCAATACTACCTAGAAGCAACATAAAATACTTCTAGCAGCTTCAACCTAAGCTTCCAAAGCCACCGTGGAACAAGCAGGTTTGGGGGAAGGGTCCACAGACATTGAACACCTGGATGAAACCACAGAGTGACAAGTGGGTGGAATGATTTGATTTTCCTTGTAACTGAAAAGTGAGCATTACAGTTATAATGGGGAGAATAATTCATTATGCTGTGGCTCAGTAATAAAGGAACTGATCATGCCACGTTCAACTTCATGTGCATTTCTTTCTTCATCTCTTCAAAGAGAGGAGAAAGTGGAGGTGAAAATCCATGTTTATGCCATCAAAAAATTCTCCATCCTAGTTCTGTCAGAAAGCCAGAAATTAAATGAAAAAATAGTGAATGTTTTGTAGCTGATGGGCAGGATAAGGCAGCTTTAACAGCTCCACCATGACTGTGGCTGGTTAGCACTTGATAATTCTGCAGCTAAAATCAGTGATAAAATGCCCCCTGACTTTGGGGGGTGGGGGGAAGGAGGAGGCTCTCCACTGCCATAAACATCTGTGTCTTAATGCACTGGGAGGCAACCAAGGCAGCTCCCTGCCTGTTCCTGTGCATCATGAATCAAAGCATTTTCTATTACACTGTTCCTTATAGCCCACTGTATTGATCACAAAATGCTCTCTTGCTTAACAGCAAAGTCACACTTCTACCTATGTATCTTTGCTTGCTTAGTTCACTAGTCGGAAGCAGCTTGACAAATCACTCTCTTTCCTTTTCTTCTTCGAGCCCAACAGGATTGAAATCAGGATGCAGAAAAAATGATGGTGGTGTTAGTCATTGCAGCTCTCAGGAGAGGCATTGCCAGGAGCAGGAGCAGGCAAGCCCAGCCTGGGCAGAGCCACCGGTGAATCCCGGTTTTCCAAAGCTGGGAAGCTGCCTGCAACTCCCAAAGCCTGTGCAAGAGCACCCCCGTGAGCCCAGAGCTGGGGTGTGGGGAGCTGCAGCACCGGCCTGGGAGGACGGGCACAGGGTGCAACAGCTCTCTTAGCCCGGCTGCTGATTTAATAACTGCTGAATAGAAGCTATGGGGTAAATGCACACTGCAGGCTCAGTATGCTGGGAATACAAGTCTGAGATGGGTCCTATTATCTTCAGGACCTCTGGACAAACTGGAAGTTTATGCTCTAAAATGAACAGAAGATCAAAGTGGTTCTTGAGGATCATAATTTGGCCTTTGTGGCATTCCTCATTCCCCCTTCTCCAAGCAAAAGTAAGCCAGACCTTTCTTTCCATGGCAGCTTTCCTATTTCCCATTGACCTTTACTGTTAGGTATGTTGCAGGGGTACAAAAGGAGCACAGGAGCAACACTGTGCAGGTTTCCTTCTCAGCAGGTGAGGGATCTAGAGGAAAAGGTGCATCCAGTCTGAAACCTGGAGATTACCTATCATGATGACAGCTTCCATTTAGGAGATAGCTGGAAGGAAGCCAGAATGACAGACCAGAGCTCTCTACTGACAGGCAGTTTTAGGGCTTGATTCATATTTTGCACAGGAAAAGCAAAATTATTATTCAAATAGATTGTCCCTGTCTTATTTTCTGTTTCTTCTACTAGCAAAGAAACACCTTTGCTCCCGCTACCCCCAGCTCAGCAGAGTGGGGAAGCTATCCCCAAAGGCATTCCAGACTTTCCTTGAGTTACTTGCTTCCGAGCTCAGTGGCAATAAGGATGAAGCTATTGATAACTTGGTGGAATTTCTGAACACAAGTGTGGAACAAAGTCACACGGAGTACTTGCAAAGCTCAGCCAGGAGGAAATGGCTGCACAACATCCAGCAGGCAGCGGAGACCAGCGGAGCAAGCATAGAGCCAGTTTACAAAGCAGTGTTTAAGGCCCTCTCCCAGGTAGGCATCCCAGGGAGCACAAGACTTGTTTGTACTGGGATTGTGACACTGACTTCAAACCCTGGTGCGTCTGAGTGGAAAGTGGGAAGCTGCTCTGAGGCTTGGTTTCCTTGTCCATTTCTGCACTCAGCTGCTGTTCAGGGGATCCCATGGTTGTGCACAGAGAATCACAGGTCAGATCTGCAATACTTCTTGTCTGTGGCTTGCCCACACAGAATGCATCTAGTCCTAGGCACAGATTATAATCAGGGATTATTTTTACATGAATTTTCCCCTA